CTGGAGCTAATGCTGGAGCTAATGCTGGAGCTGGAGTTGGTACCGGTCTCGGAGGATCAATTGGTGCAGGATACACAGGACAACTCGGTGCTGGAGCTGGAGTTGGTACCGGTTTCGGAGGATCAATTGGTGCAGGATACACAGGACAATTCGGGGCTGGAGCTGGAGTTGGCACCGGTCTCGGAGGATCGATTGGGGCTGGAGCAAACGCCGGAGCTAATGCTGGAGCTGGAGTTGGTGCCGGTCTCGGAGGATCAATTGGTACAGGATACACAGGACAACTCGGTGCTGGAGCAAACGCTGGAGCTAATGCTGGAGCTAATGCAGGAACTGGCGTTGGCTCCGGTGTCGGAGGACCAATCGTCATAGAATACGGAGGACAACTTGGTACAGGAGCAAATACTGGAGGTAATGCTGGTGTTGGAGTTGGCTCCGGTCTCGGAGTGTCAATTGGTACAGGATACACAGGACAACTCGGTACTGGAGTTGGAGTTGGTACCGGTCTCGGAGGATCTATTGGTACAGGATACACAGGACAACTCGGTGCTGGAGCAAACGCTGGAGCTAATGCAGGAGCTAATGCAGGAGCTGGAGTTAGTTCAGGTCTCGGAGGTCTACTAGGTCTGGGAGCCGGTGCAAATGCTGGTGCAGGAGCCAATGCGGGTGCTGGAGCTAGCACTGGGCTGGCTGGTGCAGGAGCCAATGCTGGAGCTAATGCTGGAGCGAATGCTGGAGCTGGAGCAGGGATTGGTGGATCCGCAGGTGCTTCTGCTGGTGCTTCTGCTAGTGCAGGAGCCTATTCAGGAGCAAAGAGAATGAAACTAATGGCAGCGTGATATGTTTGTGGGATTATTCAACAATTATTTATGGGAGATAGAACATCGCTGTAGAAAGAATATTATTAATAAATAAATTTTCTAACACACAAGCACCACATCAAACAGTATTCTCATAGAACTGTACAACAACACCGTCAAAAAACAGTAAATATGCATATAAAAAGATCACGAAGACGTGCTGTGAGCTTGATAATAAATAACGAAAACCTCAGGCATCTGAGAAAAGAGCACTTGGGATTAAACATGAGACTATATC